ATCTGCATGTTTCATTGACTGTCAAAGCACTGAAAGGAAAAAGAAAAATAACCTAGTGAACATGTATTTGTTTCCCCAGACCTCTCTGGGTTTACTAACTTTTTACAGATTCATACTTCCTCTTCTCCCTGTGATTTCATTTGGACGGAACAGAGACCCTTTCCACGGTTCTGAACTTAAACTCTTCCTCTTATTTCTTAGCAAAGCAAGAAAATTCCCCAAATTCCATTATCTACTTTGTAGCTCCCTGGACAAAGTGAGTCCATTATGTACATTCTGGGAGGATGCGGAGAAATTTGTACAACTTTGCAAAAGTGCTTGGCAGTATCTACTAAAACTGCATATATGCAGAGCCCCTGACCCAGGCATTCCATGAGCATAGAACCCACAGAAGTACATGCCTGGCACAGCCATTGTGGCACTATTCAGTCAGTCCACAATGGAACAATCATGCGGCCATCAACTGTAGAGTGCATCATTAAGCCACGGCACGCCCTCCAATCTGTGCTGTGCTATGCTGGGATCCTAGGCTCCACCTCCACTTCTGTGAGGCTCCCCCTACCTCTTGTTTTCACGGTGTGATACCAGTCTCTTCCCTGAAGTCCTACAACATACCCACTGCTCCTGCTCTGAGTGGTGGACCCAGTGATGTCAACTCTGCCATGCATTTGTGCCCCAGTCTTCTTGTGCCTCTCCTGGTTCCCTAGCTCTGTGCCTTGTGCAGGGTAGATGATACAAAATATTTGGTTTATAAAGGCAAAAAGTCAGTGCAGTTTGAATTCCATGTTAGAGTCAGTGGGCAAATGCCTCAAATTTTGGAAAAAGTACAATATTTCCCAACTTGAGCAAAAGGTAGATCATGACAGTTTTTCTAAGTAGAGTCCAATAAAGCCTGCAAAGTGCCATTGACCCACTCAACATTGTTTTTTGGAAGTAGCAGGTCAGTGAGATTAGAGTATCATGGAGTAATTTTCATAAAATATAAATAATGACAATAAAGAATCATCTGGAAAAATCTTATTTGAGATAGTTAAAGGTAAGGTTTATAATGATAGAGCTCCTGGGGACTGATACAGAATATTGAAAGGGAGGCTGGATGGTGAGAATCTGCTGGTCTTCTGAGTTGCTCAATTATACTTAATTGTACTTCTTGAAATGTGAAAATGTTTACTTCAAAAGGTATGTTTCCAAATTCCAAAAGGATAAGCCTGTGCTAGCCTGATATGAATGTCCTTTTGAAAACACCCACTTTCCTTTATCATTGTTTTTTCAAACATTTCTTTGCTCGTGAGGAGCAATTCCATTGCGGGTTACCTGGTCTCAGTGATTGGAGCAACACTGGATATATCGAGAGATAGACCCTCCGTGATGGACAGGGCATGCCTTTTAATCACATACAGATTACTCTGTAAAATCTAATTTCTAAAAGGGCCAAATCCAGGATCTGTGCTGGAATGGGAACCTTTCAAGGAGGAGCCACCCTTGGGGTCAGCCGGGCCAGGAGCCAGGAGTCACAGTCTGAGACACTGAGCCGGGCGGAGGAGACGCCGCATGGTCCCCTCACACGACTGCAGGCTTCTGGCCCGCCGCTCCCCCAGCCCCCTTAGGGGACCGGGCGCCAGGATGCCCTCCACCGCAGGGCACCGCTGTGGGGTGTCGAGTTGCTGGTGTTGCGAGGAGGTCGCATGAGCAGGCGGCATGTCCAAGGTTTGCTTTTAGAGAAGTGTAAATACTAATCTGCTTGATTTCTGACTCTCAGCCTTAAAGAAGCACCAGCACTTTGGTCTTTACCTTCAACAGCAGCTAAATCCTGATGATAAAAATCTCCCAACGGCATTTTAAGTCCTGCTCGCTGAGCAGGTGCTCGGTTCTTTTTGCATCACTCCTTTGTGTCCATTCACTCACAGGAATTCATTTAAAGAGCAGATGTGGATGTTTCTAAGTAAGTGCTCAATGCACGCCCTCCTTGCTCCCACTGTATCCACTGCGTGAAGAACAGAGGCAGGGTGACGTGGTGGGAGGTTACGGACTCCAGACTCACCTCCCTGCCACGCGATATGCGGGAGCCTCATCATCTCCCTGTGCTTCGTTTTCCGTGGCTGCTAAATGGAGTGATGGATTAGGTAATGCTCCTTTCAATTTTTAAACTTCAAAAGGTACAAAATAACCCAACTCTAACAAATATTTGTGCTTTTTTTTGTTTTAAAACTCTGGATAATTAAATGTGAGTTGTAATCAGCTGAGCTTGACTAAAAGTTACATTTTCAACTTACTAGCAGTAAGCCAGGGACTTCCATTTGCAGGGACAGTGGAGTATTTTAAGGTCATCCATTTCATTTATTCATCTTAACATTTTCACTAACACACACGTGGTTTTCAAACACAGGAAAGAAAACATGGTAACCTGTGGTTATAGTTTCCACTAGAAAACAGAATAAGTGTAGCTCAGAAAGAGTGTTTGTGGGGAGTTTCTTTAAACATGAAAACCCATGTCAGAAGAGTTTGTTCTTGAGAAGAACAGTGTTAATTGTTGCAAGTGCCAAAAATTGTTGGTAAATAGGGCCTAACTGCATCTGTTGTCACAATCAGAATACAGCTGTGGTCGTATCACTGTGAAGGCTTTAGTGTCTTCGACCTTTGCACCCTCTGGTGTGTTCTCAAGCAGCCACTCTTTTCTTCTTTCAGTTCAGATTCTGGGGAATTTGTAGAAAATGCCTTTCCTGGTGACCCTTCCCATTTCCCAAGTAGCTCTAACTGTCCCTTGTTAGAGCCCATCTCAAAGTAAGTTGGCCTGCTCAAAATCACTCTTCTGCTAGTATTTTGCCTTCATTGTTATCTTCAGCAACTGGTTCTGTCTTCCACTGTGATCAGTGACTACATGTCTGAAATTAATTAATTCATCAGTAAATATTTAAAGAGCCCCAGCTGATTTATGATGTGAGCACACGTTCAAATTTCACAGTATATCAGAAGGAAATGCAGAAAACAAACAAAAAACCCTTTCAATTTTTTGAAATGTAACCAAAATGCACATATTTTAACTATGAGAGATGTAGAATAGGTTTTATGTGAATTCTACTTTCACCAGACAGTGATATTTTAGCTTTGGCCATCCTCTTTCCAGATGGTCAGGGTACCTGGTAGTAAGGGAGAACTACTCTTGACTACATATGCATCAGTTCAGGAAGCCATCTGCTAAAGCTGCCAAAGAAAAATGCGTATGTAGAGGAGTAAATAGATGGTGGTTTAAGTTTTTTCTTCTGATTGCTTTGCTGATCACAATCAAATGAGAATATAGTAGGTAAAGCTGTTTACTGTGTTAAGTGGGACAGATACGAGTGATTTTCACATGTGAGTTCAGTTTTAGAAGGAAGAGTGACATACGTATACCAAGAAAGCCAGCGTGAGCTGTTCTACATCTGCCAAGCTCTTATCGGCCACAGAGGAGATATTATCAGCGTGTACGTGTTTATACCCAGCACAGATGTGTATGGCAAAACATGTATTTGTCAATGTGGGGTGGCCCTGGGGAGATCCTCCGGATGATGCTCTTGGTTCTGCTCTTGCTGCTCTGCAGCCTGTCCCCGGCAGGGCAACCAGGTGACCCTCTTACTGCCTGGTCACATGTGCCACTCCTCTGCCCCAGACCTCAGGGCTCCCTTCTTACAGAGGACCATCCTCAGCCCCACTCCCCAGCCACCTCTTTGACTCATGTCCCCATCTTGCTCCCTAATGTGTCAGACAAGCCTCAGCTCAGGACATTTGCACAAGACCTCCTTCAGGTCGACCTGAACATCTATTTCTCAGTGGCTATCTCCTGATCTCTCTATTTAAAATCACAGCCCCTCAGGCCCCATCCGCCAATCCACACCATCTCTGTCCTGCCTTTCTAGAACACTAGAACATGAGCTCCAAGGGAACAGAGTAGTTTTTCCATTTTCTATCATATCCCCAACCACCTGACACAAAGTTGTCATCCAAAGGGTATTTGTCATATGGATGAACTAATGAAAAGCAGCTAATCACAGTATGCTTACATACATATGAAACACATTCACTTATTTATGACAGAGAATTGAACTGCTATAGATTCAATTTGTTCTTTTATATCCTAAGAAGCAGGTAAGACATTTGCAAGCAAACACAAGGAGCCAATTCTTTAAATGGATTATCTTCCTTCAGAAAATTGGAATCAAATTGCCACAGTTAGAATCAGTAATAAGCCAGTGAACATATTTACTCGTTGATAATTAGTCATGCTGAGTCAAGGAATCACTGTTTTTTGAAGAGGGTGCTGTATTTGTTTTCTATTGCTGCTGTAACAATTTACCATAAACTTAGCAGCTTAAAACAAAACAAATTTATTCTCTCACAGTTTGTAGGCCAGGAGTTGCGGCTGACTCAGCTGGTTCTTTGCTGCAGGTCTCACAAGGCTGAACTCAGGGTGGTGGCTGCTTGGGCTGCTTGGGAGGCTGGCTCCACTTCTGCCACGTTGCTGGCCTTCAGCCAGAGAAAGTTCTCTGCTGCTGAGAGCTTGTTTGGCCAGACTGGGCCCACCAGACCATCCAGGACCTCTCCCCAAATTTAAAGCCTGCTGTCTTGGTTACATCCTGGGAGTTAGGGAATGGACATCCTTGGGAGGGGCAGTTCCACCTAAAATAGGCACACACTCATACTTTAGAAATAGTTTCAGAAAAATATTCCCTCCTAGAATTAAAGGTTCTTTTACCCAGAAAAGTGACTGTCAGTGAAGGAAGGATCTTAACACGACGGTTGCTGCTGAGACTGGCATGCTTCTAGGTTTGCATCAGGCTACAGGTCTGGGTGAGAGAGACAGAGGCAGACTCATGGCTTCTTCCACTAGATACCACGTTGTACCCAAATCCCCTTGACTTTGCATATTCATGGTTTTGATGGAGTCGAAATCTATCCCGAAAGACCAGTTCCTGAGAGCCCAGTTTATGTTAAAGAAGCCATTAGGTGACTGATTAATCAGAAAGTCAATTAATCATTTTTTTAATACGCTCATTCACAAATTTATGAAAACCTTTTTGGCGTCAGGAACTATTTCAAGATATTTCTTACATTCTGGCAGGGGAAGAGATTGCAATCAAGCAAACAATGGAACAGGGTCATGTCAGGTGATGATAAATGCTGCAAAGAAGAGACCAGAGGGAGATGTGATCGAGGTATAAAGTGCTGGGGTGATGTGGGAAAGCCTGGGAAGGTGGGGCACTTCTGGAGACCGGCATAAGGAGTAAGTGGGCATTTGGATGCCTAGGAAGGAGGCATGGAGCAGCAGAGTCTTCCAGGTGGAGAGAACAGCAAGCTCTCACTGAGGATACTCAGGTTGAGATTTTCAGTATCAACACTGGCAGAGTAAAATAGTGCTGGTTCCTCCTCTCAGAAGCAGCCTGAAAACAACAATGAAAACAGCAGCAACAATGAAACCTTAACCACATCTAAACCATAGCATAAATAGCAAAAAATTATGAAATACAGCCCACTTCTGGGTGTTTACTCAAAGAAGTACCTGTACTTCTTGGTATTAATCCAAAGAAAACAAAGATAGCAATTTGAAAAGACATATGCATCTTTATGTTTACCACCACATTATCTACGATAGCCAAGACATGGAAGCAACCAAAGTGTCCATCAATAGGTGGATGGATAAAGAAGAGGTGGTACATAGGCACAATGGACTATTACTCAGCCATAAAGAAGGAACGAAATCTTGTCATTGTGACAACACAGATGGATCCAGAGGGTATTATGCTAAATGAAATAGGTCAGGCAGAGAAAGACAAATACTAGCTAATTTTACTTATATGTGGAATCTGAAAAGCAAAACAAATGAACAAACAACTACAGAAATAGACTTGAAAATGTAGAGAACAAAAATTGGTATTGCCAGAGGAGTGTAGGTGGGTATAGGTAGATTGGGCAAAATCGGTGAGAGGGAGACAAAGAGGTACCAATTTTCAATTATAAAACAAACTAGTTGCAAGGATGAAAAATATGGTATAGAGAAAATAGTCAATAATATTATGATAACTCTGTATGGTGCCAGATCATAACTACATTTCTTATGGTAAACATTTTCTAATGTATGTAATTATTGAATCACTATGTTGTACACCTGAAACTAATATTGTATGTCAACTACACTACACTAAAAAAACAAATAATAATCCATAGTATTTGGAGAAGGACTGTCAAAGGCAGTAGGCAGACAGGATGCCTGTAAGTGTGGACTTGCACATGCAGAACTAATGTCTACAGAACGGACTCACATAGGGGACTTGTATGGTGTGGATCATTCCTACTAGTCTGGAGCATGGCTTTGGTGCTGCTGCCACAAAAGCCTGCTGCATATAACTTGTCCAGGGCAAAGTTGTTCAACATTATGCTGAATGGAAGAAGCCAAATGCAGAAGAGTATATACCATGTGGCTCCACTTAACCTGAACTCCTAAAGCAGGCAACTCTTTTCTCTATGGTGATAGAAATCAGATCATGGTTTCCTGGGGTAGGGGCTTGGGAATGGAGTTTGACTACACAGAGACCCAGGAGACCTTTCTGGAGAGATGTAAATGCTCTCTCTTGATTGGGTGACGGTTATATGATATACATTTGGCAAAAGTCCTTGATTTGCACTGTTAAAATGTATGAACTGTACTGAACATAAATGATTCCTGAATACATTTGTTAAAAATAATAAAATAAACTAAATAATTAAAATATTATACCCATTCTTGAATAGAATATAAACTAGGATACATTATCCCAACATATTTCAGGAGACTAATGAAAGTTCTTATTCTTAAAAATTTTCATTAACGCAAATCTATTCTCATAACCTAAGTTTAAGTTCATAATACAGTATTGTTAACTACAGGCACAGTGTTGTCCAGAAGATCATCTTGTATAACTGACACTTTATACCTGTTGAATAGCAACTCCCTGTTTCCCCCTTCTCTGGCCCCCAGTCCCTGGGAACCACCTTACTGTTCATTTCTCTAAATTCAACTATTTTAGACCCCTGTTAGTGGAATTATGCAGTATTTGTCTTTCTGTGTCTGGCTTATTTCACTTAGCATGACGTCCTCCAATTTCATCCATGTTGTCACATGACAAGATCTTCCTTTTTCAAGGCTGAATAATATTCCATTGTGTGTACATACTACTGTTCTTTATTAATTCATCTGTCAAATTTAAGAAGGACCTACAGAATATTACAGTCCAATCTTACCCATAAATACAGATGTGACTTATGAGCAAAACTATTCCAGTAATATTTAAAAACTATAATCCATCATTACCTATTGAGTTTATCTTAAAGTGCAAGATTAATTTAACATTAGAACAATGTAAATCACCACAATAATGGATTAAAAGAGAAAAACTGCCCTCATTTTATGAAATGTAGTAGAACAATTGATGCAACTTGCCTTCCTCCATGATGAAATTCTTAGCTTAGTTATAGAAGAGTATTCTTTAATCTGATAAAGATTATCTAAAATAACCTAGAAACGAGTTAATGACCAAACACTGAAAACTTTCCCCTTTAAATCAGGAACAAGGCAAAAATGTTTGCTTTCACCATATTTCAACATTATACTGGAAGTTCTGGCCAGGAGAGTAAGATGAAGAAAGAAAGAAATGTATATAGATTGGAAAGGGAAAAATCATTTATTATGATGTGTAGATGAGATAGATGATTATGTACTTAGAAAACTAAGTTTAGAAGGTTTAGAAAGTTTAGGTTATTGCATACAAAACTAATATATACAAATTAATAGATTTTATTATAGCAATAAGTAAGTTATAGCTAAAAAGTAGTTGTTAAAATAATAGGATAGATGGGGCAGAGACTGAAAATTATTTGCTGCAGATTTATTGTGGTATAATTGACAAATAAATTGTAATATATTTAGAGTGTAGAACCTGATGATTTGGTACACATATACACTGTGAAATGATTCCATAATCAAGTTAATTAACATATCCATCACTTGCATGGTAACCTTTTGTTTTGGGGGCTTTTTTGGTGAGAATGTTTAAGATCTAGTCTCTTAGCAGATTTCAAGTGTACAATACCAAGTGCATTATTAACCATAGGCCCTCTGCTGAGCATTACATCCTCAGAACTTATTCATCTTATAACTGAAAGTTTGTATGTTTCAACCAACCTCTGCCCCACATTCCCCAGCCCCTGGCAACCAATTTTCTGATGTCTCTTCCTATGAGTTTGACTTTGGTCTTTCAGACTCCACATGTAAGTGAGATCATGCAGTATTTGTCTTCCTGTGTCTCAGTTATTTCACTTAGCATAATGCCCTCCATTTTTATTCATGTTGTTACAAATAACAGGGTTTCCTTCTTTTCTAAAGCTGAATAATATTCCATTTTGTATACATACCATGTCTTCCTAATCCGTGCATCCATTGACAAACACTTAGGTTGTTCCTGTACCTTGGCTACTGTGAATAATGCTGCAATGAACATGGGAGCACAGATAAATATCTCTTCGAGTTTGTTTCCTTTGGATATATTGTCAGAGTAGAATTGCTAGATCATATAGTAGTTCTATTTTTAATTTTTGAGGAACCTTTATATTGTTTTCCATACTAGCTGCACCAATTTACATTCCCACCAGCTGTAGATGACGGTTCCCTTTTCTCCATATACTCACCAGCTTTTGTTATCAGTTCAATCTTTGGTTCATTATCTTTAAAAAGCAAGACAAATTGCTCTTTCTCATTGTCATTAACCATACCAGTAACTTATCTGGGTGTGTACTTTTCCAAATACCATCTAAATGTTGGGGAGGATTGAGTAGGGAAGAAAACCCACCTGCTTACAAGACAAAAATAAAATGTAAATGCTAAAGACCCAAGGGCAAAAGTCAAAACAATGATAGAAAATAGAAAATTCTAAATGACAAAAGAAAGGCTCATTATTTTTAGAGCAGCTCTTCAGGGAAAGGTGGAACGTGGAGGTAAGGAAAAGGGCTAGATGGTCAGAGCAGCAGGAAGGATGTTCCAGTCTGAGGATGGTTCGAGCAAACGTGCAGCACGGGAATGTTCATGGCATGGTCAAGAAATAATTAAAATAATTAGCTAGCTAGTTTAGGGGAGAAGATATTTATGGAAATAAAAGGAGATACGTTTGGGAAGATAGGTTGGGACTAGACTGTAAAGGGAGATGAAGATCAGAATAAGAACTCCTTAAGCAGTAGGCTCCTCTTGACTATTTGTGGATTCAAACTGCTACCAACAATGCTTGAGCCTTTTGGATCAAGAGTAGTTAAGAATGCCTCTTGGGCCACAGAGGAAAACAAAAAAAGAGCACAATCTGTTCTTGAACTACACAACTGCTTACCCAAATCTTGGGAAGAATAAAAAGCGGATGTGAGAACTTTAAACAATACTTGAAAGCAGGGGAGACAAAGGCAATTGTTTGAGTCTGAAGCTTCCAGCCTGGATACCAGTGGTTTTTCTGAACAAAGTCACTCTGTTTTCCAGAAATGATTACCTCTAGATTCTACGATTTAGAAGATGCTTCTAAAATGTTTACAAAGCATTAAAGGCATAGCCATTTCATGTATCACAGAGTTGAAATGATAAAAATCAGGCAGGGAAAGATGGAGCAAGAAAAACACTTTAAGATCTGCGGTGGGAGGATGGACTCAAATACCTACCTCTTTTTAATTTCATTTTACTATTTCTTCCTTTTTACTTAATGTTTTTAATTCTATAAAAATAATTCATCTGCTCAACAAATATTCATCAACTGTGTACTGTGTGCCATGGGAAGGCTATCAGAATACAGTCTGGGAGTCAAAGCTTACCCAAATCCACACCATTCTTCAGGCCATGGGATTTTGGCAAATTGTGTATTCCTTCTGACCCTCAGTTTTCTTTTTACGTAAAATGAGAGACATACTAGACTACCTCATAGTCTATTATAAGAATTATGTCTATAAAACACCTATAGTAAGTGGCCAATTATATGAAGCTTAACATTTTTAAAGTTTCATTTTCCATATTAAAAAATTGAAGGACTTACTTTTGTACAATAAGGCATCAGCTAATTTCCTAGTATAATTTCAGCAATTGTGATAGGCTCTGCCTGTAGAAATAACTTTGGTTAGAATTTAAATTTAAATAGGAAACAAATTCTAATTCATTTCATTTAGGGTCAGCCAAGTCAATTTCCACAGATTTGATTTCTCCACTTCCCCTCTGACTCCAACAGAAAATAACAAACAAAATTATTTGTTTTGCATGTTTTTCCTCAAATCATTTGGGATGTCTGTTTTCTACTCAACCACTTAAAAATTCCCTCAGCAATGTGAACTATACAGTAACTTTTATCTTGGTCTTCCCATTCTGCTTTGTTTAATTCTTCAA